CATGTATTACATATATTTACAAATTTAAAACACCAATAACATTTTACTGCCATTCTCTACTCATTTAATTTGAATTATTGTTATTCACTTACTTGCTTTTACATTTACTTGTGAGTATATTTGTATGATCTGTTCTTCCAGGTATGGCCAGGGTTAACTGTGTACCCTGATTTTACTAATCCAAACTGCATTGAGTGGTGGGCAGATGAATGCAAACGGTTCCATGAGACAGTGGAATATGATGGACTTTGGATTGTAAGTAGTGTCTAATAGCGATATTAGACAGTTAATATAGAATTATGTTTTTCCAAAAATAATTAAATTCCAAAATACTTTTAGTATTGGATTAAATATGAAATAAATGCCTTATGTTATCTATATAGATAGATAGATAGATAGATAATCATACACATGTTTTAGAAATAATAAAAATTAAAATCTGCACATTGAAATTCATCTTTTCCAGTGATACATTTGATAGAGTAAATTTCCTTTTTATTTTTATTTATAGGGTTGTGCTTAGCAAATGATAAACCTACATTAATAAAATTAAAAGTCATGTATTAAAGTCTGCAGTAGTGAAGCATTTGTAACAATAATATTATGCTTAAACACCACACTTTAGAGATATTTGTAGTAAAATATAGAATAGAACAAATAAAAACTGGTAATATGATATTTTATCTCAAGATAAGCAATAGCGAAAATCAAGTATTTTGTTCTTGGTAAAGGTATTAAATGGAAAAACAAATATTTGATAGTTTCTTTGAAGGAAATTATAAATTTATTATTACTGATAACCTAAAGTTAGACTTAAGTATAAAATAATACTGGATGATAAAGCAATTTACTGTCTTTTTTATGGAATCTATAAACCTATTAGAGAAATTAAACTATATAGTAATCACAAAATTCTGTACTAAATTGATTAAAAAATAGCTTAATAAGCCTGAACACACAGAACAAAATGAGGGTTTTGTTAAAGGTGTTGAAGTTTATGTAATTTTATAAAATAGATTATGAAATAAATCATTGGGCAACTACCTTTTCTTTGATAATTTCTATCTACAAAAATCTACTTTCTTGAAGTGCTCATTATTCACTGTCATTATTTTATGTTCTATATTAAGTTAATTTTCATTACTTTTTAGCCAACTACTATTTTTTAATAGTCAATGTGTCAACATATCATTTTTACTTAAAATTTGCTGGTTTTCACTTCATACTGATTTAGGACATGAACGAAGTTTCCAGCTTTGTTCAAGGTTCAACAAAAGGCTGTGGTGAAAACCTACTGAATTATCCCCCTTATACTCCAGGTAAATTTTATTTGATTACCTGCTTTCAATAATCTGAGTATATTTTCTTTGTTGGCTGGAATATTATGCCATATATTTTAAAATCACCAAATGTTGTAGTTTTGATGAAATCGATCATTTTTAATATTTATTTATGTCTAGCCAAAATAAATAAATAAATAAAATGCCTAAGAAAAAGAAGACTTTTTTTCATTATGGTATAACATATCACTACTTTTGCTAGTGATGATTTCCTATGATTACATAGTTAAGTAAAAATATGTAAATAAAAAATATGTAAATAAGTAAAAATAAACCACAGAAAAATCTCAATTTTCACAGACTCACACTGACAAGGAACACATTGTTCTTGCCAGATAAAAAAATCCAAGCTTGTCATAACTAAGAAAATCAAAGAATTAAAACAATACAAACCCAGAAAAACATATCTGAGATAAGTGAGATGATACAGAAAAGGAAAAGAATGCTTTAAGAAACATAATCAAGAAACAAAAGATAGAGATTAAAAATTAAAATAATAAAATAAAAGAGCTTCAGAATGTAGAAAGGAAAAAGAGGATATAAAAAAAATCCATGGAAGAATATTAGACCATAAGAAGAATAAATCAATAAACTGGAAGATGCAGCTATGAAAATAACTAGAAAGGAAAAAATATATACAAAGGTAAAAGAAAGCAAATAAAATGGTCGAGAGTTATCCTAAAAGGAAGAAAAATAGAAAAGAGCTCAGCAAATCTATTAAAATAAATAATTTAAGAACTTTTCCAAGCAAGTTTTACCACAAGTTAAATGTTGCATAAATGCCCATCCTGCTAAATCTCATTAAAAACAAACAAA